TCATTTCATTTAAATTGTTTACGTACTTTGTGTCTACCAACTTTTTAAGACTGAAACCCATATACACAATTGTTATTCCTCTGCTGCAGAAAATAGTCAGCCAAAATGCACAATTTCTGTCTCTTTCAGTATGATAAATATACTCTTCAGCAGAAGTGCTGCTAATAGATGCAGTGTGTGAATGGGTGAATTGCAAAACTGTACTATAAAGCAATTTGAGTGGTCATCAAGACTAGAAAAGCTCTATATAAATGCAAACCATTTACAGACAGAGTTAGGCAAAGTATTGAAAAATTGCACACACAATAAGGAACAAGATCTTTAAAGCAAAACATATCAAAGGTCAGATTCCCAATAATCAAGGTCGAAGTGTATGTATTGCATATAGTTTTTAACTTGAAACTTACCACAACTGCTAATGTTCATATCATTCAACATTATCTTCCTGTAGCCATCAGCACAATATAACTGTTGGCTGCTTAGACCCGCCTCTCCTCTCTGTTGCCATAGTTGCAGCCAGCGGATCCCACAGCCGCAGGTGAACACCACGTCCTCTAAATGACTTGAGAGAAAAGAAAAGCATTGACAGTAAAAACAAAATCTCACGAGTGACATGCCCATCCAACCAAACCTTTCACACAAGAATAAGGCATCATGTCAAATCCCTTTGCTAACAAAAGCCATTACAGAAACTCTTGTTAGATTGGATAATAGTGATGAGTTTAGCAGGTCCAGAGGGCTCCCATAACTGTAACAGCATAATGATCAGTAGGGGCAGCGCCCCCCAGTTGATGTGGTTCTCCTGCTATTCCAGCCCAGAATACAGACTTTAGAACTGGGCAGAATGAGAGAAAGATACACACATAAAAATGTATTACAACACATGCACACACACAAATCCTGCAAACAGTAGGAGCTCACAGTGGGGTAAAGTAAGGGCTGATAAATGGTTCTGCGTCGAAGCTACGCCTTAGGTACTCACAAGCATTCATAGTTTTGCATAGGTGTGTTTACATTGCTATGCAATTATAGTTCTGAAACGCTAGTGGGTGTGGGGCGTGTTGCCTCGATGCATTGTTACATTTTTGTTGTGGTGCACGTTAGGGTACGGTGTAGGGTATACTTCTATGCATAGGCTATGCTGGACCTTTGGCATAGATTTGATGTGGAAGCATGAACTGGGCTTTACACTGTGACCCAAGGTGGAATTTTTTGGTGAAAAATGCATTGTATGAATTCTGTGAGAATGAGTCAGTATGCAAATCATTCTGAAATACAAGAAATAATTAGACTTAACCAATTTGTGCAGAATAAAAGCAGCAGCTCAAGAAAATGATTGGTTTAATTGACATTTAATTTAAATTGATAAACTTCTACCCTTATTACAGTCTGGAAGTAGCCAGTTCCTATAGCTTGCTATCGAGTCAAAGTAAACTAAAATCAATTCTGCAATCTGTACAGGACAAAGACAGGCTTGAAATGCCATTTCTCTCTGACAGCAGTCTACAGGGGAAATACTTTTGGAGATGGAGAGGTTTGAGATCAGTTGATGGTGGTTGTGGGGGGCCGGAGGAATGGTACAGTCCTTAGGGGCAAGAGTTTAGCATCCTGACAACCTGGTGGATGAAGCTGTTTTGCAGTCTGTTGGAACCAGCACGGAGGCTCCAGAATCGTTTTGCAGATGGAAGAGGACTGAAAAGTGGGTTGGGTCACTCACAATGCTTGTGGCTCTGCGGACTAGGCAGTTTGTAGATGTCCTGGAGGGAGGGGAGTGAGACTCCTCTCAGCTGCATTCACGATGCTATGAAGGGTCCTGCGGTTGGCAGCTCTCAATTGTTGCTCTCTTCCGTTTACAGAGAAGGTAGTGGCACTGCCTGTTCTTCCAGGTGACGTCTACATAGCGGTGTTGCGTCACCTTCTCTAAAGGCACCGTTCTAGGTCTTCAGCAGTCCGTGAACCTTTCCTGTCAGCCTGTGAAGTGATTGTTTCAGTGACAGTAACAACCTGCGTTTGGATAAGCAGGGTGTTGTTGATAAGGAGTCAACAATCCCATAGGAAGAATGCAAAAAGAGGAGGTGCTTCAGGAACTACATGGTGCCAGACCCCCCTGGCCTGTTTGATGGTCATGTCTGGCCCATGTACTTGAAACATAAGAAGAGAGCAACAATTGAGAGCTGCCAACCGCAGGACCCTTCAGTGCATCGTGAATGCAGCTGAGAGAAGTCTCACTCCCCTCCCTCCAGGACATCTACAATCTGCCTAGTCCGCAGAGCCAAAGCATTGTAAGCTGTCACATTCTCTGTGTACTCATGTAGGTCAGTGTGTTGGTTTTGGGTGGCTGCTTGCTTGAAGATGTCCTAGTCTGTGGTGTCAAAGCAGTCCTGAAATTCAGAAGTGCCACCTTCTGGCAACACCCATTCTTCTGAACTGTTTTGGTTAATTGCTTCTGCATTCCCTTCAAAAACGCATGTGATTGGTGCATCCTCTGCTGTCAACTCTGGGGCTTGTACAATGAAGCAAGTTCAACATACCCAGGATATCTTTCAGATTTTGATTTTTTGTTTGTTTTGTAGACAGTCTTTGGTACTGTGAGCGTATTGCAGCTACATATCAGGTTGGGTTTTTTTGGCTCCAGCAGCTGACAGAGTTTTATCATTCCCTCTGATAAGAATTATACTCATCAGAAGAGTAGGCCAATGGATTTTGCTGGTCTATGAAGACCTTAGACCTCCTCAGAGACCCTCTGCACACCAAGCTCCATAGGATCCGCTAAGAACAGTGATATAACGTTCCAAAGGAATTGATTGGTCAGTGGGCTGTGCTTTTATAATGCACCATGCACCAAATGGCAATAACCTGTACTGTAAAGTGCTTTGAGTGGTCATCAAGACTATAACAGCGCTATAAATACAAATCATTTACTGCCTCCACAGAAAATATGGAGTATCTGCAGATTTCAGTGCAAGTCTGAAAGCAGCTTTACTCAATGCTACCAGCAGCCCAACCACTCTAACTCAGGATCAGCTGCTACAAGCAACACACTCAACTCTGCTCAGGCTGGAATACTCTGTATCTGTGGAGTTCTCATCCAAACTGCAAACCTTGAGTATCAGTATTTTGACAGTAACCTGCGTTGGTGATGGCAAGCCAAAAACCATAAAACCCTAAGCATAACAAGTAATAAGTTTTATGTCTGTTTGAAATTTGCTTGGTCTTCAAAACTTTGTGTTCATCCAACCTGGTTTATTTGCAATGAGGATTTAATATGAAATGAAATGGAAATATCTTAATTACTGTTCATATGTGTGGTTTAAAAAAGTTTGCTTGACTCAACAAAGTTTTTTTTTTATACATTAAGTGTTGGCTATTTCAGAGGTCTTAAGCAAGCACCAAATTTCTGACCAAAGTTCACAATTTATCAAAAAAAGCTTTGTAATTCATCTACAGCAATAAAATTTACGTAAAGTTTTACAGAGGATTCTGTAAATTATGTTGCCATTAGGAAGATTGGCACCAATTACTCCCAGGAATGTCTGTGTCATTCCAATATGTTGAAAAAAGTAATGATCATAATTCATTACGGGTGGGCAGATGTCATTGGCTGCAGGCTGCCAGTTGCAGAATGCTGCTGTAGTTTATGCAAGGATATAGAAGAAGAAATGTTCAACTAGGTCCGCACATTGACCTTCAGCACACTGCCTTGCCCCGGCTTACTGCTTAGAGCACTGGTTACCTGTTTGTTAAATTTTTATTAACATTGAATTGCACCTCCAAATGGCACCAAATTTGGTTCTACATTTTCTTAGGCAATTAACATTACAAATGCCAAGTTTCAACGATTTGCTAGATATGGATTCCACATACAGATAGAAACATTTTTGTGGAATTAGTCGGAGGGTGAAATCAGGTAATCTAGGACACTTTGTGCAATTTTGACTTTTGTGATAATCATGTTAGATCAACATATTACAACTTTCTGTAATCCTTAAGATGTTTTCTAACCACACCAGAAGAAACTATGAAGATATAATATTCAGAGGACACATGACACAGCTTTGTGCCCAAAAATATATTCTGCTTGAATTTGATCATCTGGGACGGGTCACTTTGTAATCTGGGACACTCTTTTCAGATAAAAACAAAACAAAACAACATCACTTGGATCAATATCACCAATTTGTATGAAACATTATGAGACAATTATAAAGAAAATGAATAATAAAATGGATCTTCATAAATATTCAATTAATTCATATTAACATGTAAAAGTCTATTGAGGCTATTCCGGAAACAATTGGGCCTTGTAGGTGAGAGACCATCTTCATCGATCATCCCATTGTCTTCTCCAGATGCAGACCACAGGACAGACTCTCTTCTGTGCTTTTTGGATCATCTTTGCAAGGAAAGCGAACTGATTGTGTGCTAGTTAGCTAACCCTACAATCACTTAAAAACAGACAGGGACATACTGTATTGGTCATTAACTCCTGTCTGACAACTGCAGACCATGGTAAATGGTTTGTATTTATAAAGCACTTTTCTAGTCTTGATGACCACTCAAAGCGCTTAACAGTACAGTTTTTCCATTCACAAACACATTCATACAGTGCATCTATGAGCAGCACTTTGTTCTATGAGGGGCAATTCAGAGTTCAGCATCTTGCCCAAGGACACTTCGGCATGCAGATGGGGAAGACTGGGGATCAAACTGCCGACCTTCTTGTTGGAGGATGACCCGTCTACCCCCATGTTACATCCCTTAGTTCATCTTTTTTGTTTTACTTCACAAAGCCTTTAAATGCATATTTCCTCATATAGAGAATTACCCAAAGCATGGTGTTTCCACATTATCAATCATATTTGATAAAGTGGAACAACTAAAAGTAGTAAAAGTCCTTTTGACTAAATTTTGTAAGAACGGGAAATAACCAGACTGGAGCTTAGGTATACCACATTATCCAATGTCCCAGAAAACCTGAATTCACCCTAAATATTTTCTAAGATAAAAGATCACTCACACACTCCCTCAAATGTAAAATGTAATTTTCCTTAAAAATGTAAACTTACTTCATATGTTCCACCATTTAATTCTGAACATGCTTTTCTTTGTTGCATTATTAATCAACTATAATCCCCCATCTACACTACAATGTGTATTGGATCAAAGAAAGAATTACACTGCTCTTGGTAAGTTGCATGTTGCCACAGCAACCATTTAACCACTCTTTCTCCTGCTAAAGTAATTGGAAAAAAATTTGATTTACCATTTGCAGGACACAAATGTTCTGTGTTTTCTTTCTCACTGCAAATAATTTGTCCCTAATACAGGTGGATATTTTGTGCTATAGTAAACATCACATAGAAAAGAGTATGTAATTTGGGAATTTGGGATATTTGATACCCCCCCAAAAGAGTAGTGTATATGTAGATGACTTTATGTAATGTATTCAAGTCAATAGGTTTCTGTGAAAAAAGCCTGGCAGTAATGATAAGTATATAGCAAACAGAAAGATAGATATTTTGTTGGTTGTGTGTGTGTGTGTCATGTTTCCTACAACAAGTTGATTGATTGCTTGATTTTTTACTCATCTACAAAGATCTCAAAAATTAGTTGTGATAAGAATGCAACTTGATTTTAACACAGACAGTGGCTTCACGACTCAGAAAAAACTCTCTTATCTCTAACCACAGGTATATTATATTGATTAAGATCCAGTCCTGAAGAAAACCTCAGATTAACCTCCTTAACTCTTCTGGTTAATGAGATTATGGTCTTTAAGGGAGGTTGACTTACAGTTCGAAGAGCTGCACAGGTTCAAAGATCTGCCAGGATAATGTGGTCAACATGGGGTTCTTGGACAGGTTTCTGAGGGCGAGAGTTATAAGAGACAGAAAATAAGATGGACATCAGAAACTTCAGCTCAGCGATGTTACACTTTACATTTATTTGTCTATTATGTCAGTTGTATTCAGCAAAGATAACAGTTCTGGTGTGTCTTTCAATAGTCACAACTGTTTTAATTATAGCTTCTAACTCATTCAGTATTTTTAATGAACTGAAATATATTCTTGGTGTTTATTTTCCATACACTATGGCAGTGTTGATAAAATACAAAGCAATGCTAGCAAATATTTTCATTCTGCAATACAAGCAAAAAGCATATGTAGAATAAATGATAAAACATAACAACAAGCATAAATAACATTAATATTATACCTATTTTACATACAGTAGGGCTGCCATGATAGTCTGTGTTACTGATATCCTGCGGTGGTCAGGCTCATACTGATTACATAACTTGCCCACAAGCCCCACCATCTGTTTTCTTAGAACCTATTTGGTTCAATTATATGTGTTTCAGTAGTAGTGTACTGTTTAAATCACACTTTTGATCTAGTTCTGACATATGGCATAGACATTGAAAATGTAATAATWTTTCAAAAGAACCCTCTTCTGTCTGACTATTTTTTAATAACATTTGAATTTAGAATTATTAACTACACTGTCTCTGGAAAGAAATTCTATTATAGTCGATGAATTGCTTCCTTCTACACTTACCTCACAGCCATGTGTCAGTACAATACAGGAAAGTTAGCAAAACTTTACTCCGACATTAGTTGATAACTTTGTTAATAGTACACCAGCCTCATTAAAAACAACCCTTGACATGGCCCCCCTGCTTAATAACAAGAATGTAAATCAGAGGAGATTAGCTCCATGGTACAATTCTCAAACAGGTGTTTTAAAACAGACATCATGGAAGCTGGAGAGGAGGTTCGACCAGTCAATATGACTTTCACCTAGCCTGGAAGGATAGCCTGATAAATTACAAGAAAGCACTTAGAAATGGCAGAACCAATTATTATCTATTATTAATAGAAGAAAATAAGAACAACCCCAGGTTCCTCTTCAGCACTGTAGCCAGGCTGACAGAAAGTCACCTGCCCTACATTTCCAAAATAGATAGTAACGGTTTGTTGGAAAACGTTCAGTCAGGATTTAGAATCCATCACAGCACAGAAACAGCACTATTAAAGTCACTAATGACCTTTTCATTGCATCAGATGATGGACTTGTCTCTGTACTCGTCCTGTTGGATCTTAGTGCAGCATTTCACACCATAGATCACAAGATCTTGTTACAGAGACTAGAACAACATGTAGGGATCACAGGAACGGCACTAGCCTGGTTTAAATCATATTTATCAGATAGATTTCAATTTGTTAACATCAACAATGACCCCTCCATGCACATGCAAGTTAGTGATGGGGTTCAACAAGGTTCTGTCCTTGGACCGATACTCTTCACCTTATATATGCTCCCCTTAGGCAACATCATCATAAGGCACCCCGTACACTACCATTGTTATGCAGACGACCCCCAGCTGTACATTTTTATGAAGCATGATGAATCTAATCACTTAGTTCAACTTCAGGAATGTCTCAAGAACATCAAGGCCTGGATGACCCAAAACTTCTTACTTCTAAATTCAGACAAAACTGAGGTCATTGTAATTGGCCCTAAACATCTCAGAGAATCACTGTCTGACCAGATTGTAAGGTCTTGACCTTCTATGTTAAGTGCCTTGAGATAATGTATATTATGATTTGGCGCTATACAAATAAAATTGAATTGAATTGAATTGAAAGTGTGTGCTCCATGCAGCTGCAGAAGAAGTGAGAACTGGAATGTCACCATCTGGGTAATTAATGGGAAACACTGCATACATTTTCCAAAGTGCAGCAGAAGAGTGGAGCTGCCCACGGCAAAATCTGACACTCTTTTCTTGTCAAACAAAAAAGTGCTGCTAATAGATGCACTGTATGAACGTGTGTGAATGGGTAAATGGCAAACTGTACTGTAAAGCACTTTGAACTAAAAATGTTATATAAATACAGACCATTTACCATAAACATTTACAGTTGCAGCTAAACTCAATAATTTGTCAGAACATCCGCTCTGAAGATAAATGTAATGGTCTTTGGCAGACTCTGGTGCTCAATAAGAACTTTTAACAAGACTTGCATTCTGGCGAGTGAGCTAATGGCCTAGAAGATGAAACCTCATTCAGAAGAAATTTGTGAAGAACCCTTATTGCTGCTGTGTAGCTGCTAGAAGCAGACGGTGTCAGTTAATCATGAGGAACCTTCACAGATCCTGATATAGCACAGGATATTAAAAAGAGATGGATGGAACAACAGAAATTACAAATACAGACCAACCAGATGTTTGGGGAATCACTGCTGAGTTTGATATAAGGGAGAATTACTGACCTGTGCAAGCCATGGCAATAACAAAAGTAAGGATTTGTTTGTTTGTATAAATATCACCATCCGGAAGGTCACAAGAAGACGGCTGTCATTGTGTACTGCAAGTTTAAAATGTGAGAACATTGCCAGGTAATGGGTGAAATCCAACATGGTGGTGCTCTGCAGCTAGACAAACCGTACAATCCTCCTGAAACAATCTGAACTTTCCACCCTGGATTGTACCATCATAACTCTGAAAACCTGAAAGACTTTGTTGACGATATACTATGTTTGATTGGTCAGCAGGACTGATTGGAATGTAGAGCTGTGTGTCATCAGTGAGTAGCAATGAAAGTGGAAATTATTTTTGCGGATGTTGTTCCCAAGCGGGAGTATATAGATGGAAAATAGAATGCGACCTAGGATTGAACCCTGTGGGACATCGTACCACGTTTGAGGGGGAGGCTAGAGTAAACCCTCCCCTGAAGAAACCCACCCTAAGTAATCAACTACAGACCTGTCTCTCTTCTACCTTTTTTTCCAAAGCATTTGAGCGAGCTATCTTTAATCAACTCTCCTCATATCTTCACCTTAACAACCTTCTCGATCCTCACCAGTCTGGGTCCAAGGCAGACCACTGAACTGAGACTGCCCTCCTTGTTGTGTCTGAGCAACTTCACACTGCTAGAGCAGCCTCTCTCTCCTCTGTCCTCATCCTTCTAGACCTTTCTGCAGCATTTGACACAGTTAACCACCAGATCCTTATTTCCTCCTTTCAAGATCTGGGTGTCTGAGGCTCTACTCTCTCCCTGCTCTCATCCTACCTCGACTGCGTTTACCGGGTTTTTTAACACAGCTATGCAGATGATACCCAACTAATCCTCTCTTTTCCCCAATCTGAAACAGGTAGCAGCACAAATCTCTGCCTGTCTGACTGATTCAGTGGATGTCTGCACACCACCTGAAAAATAACCTTGACAAGACCAAACTACTTTTCATTCCAGGAAAGGTTGCTCCCACCCATGACCTGACTATTACCATTGACAACTCCATGGTTACCGCCACCTAGACTGCTAGGAGCCTGGGTGTGACACTAGACAGTCAACTCCCTCTTAATCCCAACATAACTTACTGCAACAACCCGCTCATGTAGATACATGTACATGCTGCACAACATCAGAAGAATACGTCCCCTTCTCACTCAGGATGCGGCACAGGTTCTGGTCCAGGCTCTGGTCATCTCACGCCTAGACTAATGCAACTCCCTACTGGCTGGTCTACCTGCTAGTGCTATCCAACCGCTGCAGCTCATCCAGAATGCAGCAGCTCGACTGGTCTTTAACTTTCCTAAATTCACTCACACTACTCCACTCCCTTCACTGGTTACCGGTGGCTGCTCACATCCATTTCAAAACAGTAGTACTTGCGTACCGTGTTGAGAACGGATGGGGTCCAGTCTACATCCAGGAAATGGTCAAACCATACAACCCAGCCTGTTCACTCCGCTCTCTCAGCCAATTGGCTTGTTGCTCCCCCACCAAACAAAATCACAACTGTTTGCTGTCCTGGCTCCTAAATGGTGAAACAAGCTCCCCATTGACACCAGGACAGCACAAAGTCTACACATCTGCCGCAGACTAAAGAGACATCTTTTCCAACTACACCTTAGTGAAGAAGATGATGTCTAGTAACTAATTAAAAAAATGTATATACTA